CAGCCTAAACATGCATTACTTGAGTTATCCAGTGACAGAAAATGTGCTCCATCCAGTACATCTGGAGAGAGAGACGCTAGACAGAGTGACATACACTTTGACTCTTCTAGCACTGATATGCAAAGCACTGCAGATCCTAAGGAAGAGATCATTGAGAACTCTAATGAAATGAAGGTTACCACTTCTTTGGCACTTCCCATCTCCATGGAGAAGATGGTTGATGGTAAATTGGGTAAACAAATTTACAATGAAAAAGCCATTTTAAGTAATATTAATGTTATTGGTGTTTCAGATAGTAAAACTGGCCAAATGGACATGATAAGTGGAGGCAAGGTCACTACTGATCATTTACATGCAGAAGTGATTAAAGAAACAGTTGAAGTTCCATTGTCTAATCAACTGTGTGAAGGTGACTGCAAAAGAAATGTGAATGAAGGGTTGAACACTGGAATTCACTCTCAGCAGAAACTAACTGTTGCCATTGCTAAGTCTGAACTTACAGAAGGAGGTAGTAATGAAAAGTTGCAGCAAACATTATCTTACCAGAAATCAATTTCGGAAAATGGTAATGAAGTCAAAGTGGGTAAAGCAGATGAAAATGATAGTACGGGTTACATTTTCCTATCTGAAAGAGAGAGCTTAGATAAGGGCAAGGACAAAAGTTGGGCTGTAGAAGGTCAAGTGGTAACTGGTCTTTATTCCCAGGCTAACGATCTCAAGAATCATCGCATAGAGGCCAGTGTAGACAATAAAGATATCCCGGAGCATGCTTCGCTTCCTGAAAATCTGCATCTTGCATCTCTGGTCCAAGAAGAACGAAAAAACACAGAGTTGAGAGAATTCAACAACGCTGGCCTCGAAGTAAATGTAACAGACAACTGCGCTTCATCTGGTGCAGGAGCATCGGATCTGAACATAAAGATAAAGTTCGACTTAAATGAAGGTTTTACTGCAGATGATGGGAAGTGTGGGCAGCTGGTCAGCATGATAGCCTCTGGTTCGCCCACAGTTCATATGATCAGTGGGGCACCTTTTGTTGTAAATCCTATTCCCAGTGCCCTTCCTACTTCCATTACAGTGGCTGCTGCAGCAAAAGGTCCCTTTGTTCCTCCAGATGATCTGTTGAGAATTAAAGGGGAACTTGGATGGAAGGGATCAGCTGCCACTAGCGCATTTCGGCCGGCTGAACCCAGGAAGGTTCCTGAAATACCATCCGAGGCAACAAGCACGACTTCCCCTGATGCTTCTACTGGTAAACATGGACGCGCACCCTTGGATATCGACCTGAATGTGCCAGATGAAAGAGTTCTTGAGGAAATGGCTTCTCGGGGTTCTGGTTTTGCTGTTGTTTCATCATCTGGTTATGCAAGCAATTGTCATATGGTGCAGAATGAGAGTGCAGGTTCTATGCCATTTCTTTGCTCAGGAGGCCTGGATCTTGATTTGAATAGAGTTGATGTATCAAATGATAATGTCCAGTGCTCCGCTAATGGTAATCATAAAGTGGAGAGTCCTGTTGTGTCTATTCAGACATTAGGTGGTTTACCTACTCGTAGTGTTAGGATGGATTTTGATCTCAACAATGGGCCTGGGGTTGATGATGCTAGTGGTGAACAGTTTTTTATGAACCAGCAAGGGAAGGGTGGTATATCATCTCAGCTACCTACTGCTGGCCTTGGAATGAATAATTCTGAACTGGGGAACTTCTCATCTTGGTTTCCACCAGCAAATACTTACTCAACCATGAAAATTCCATCAATATTACCAGATCGAGGGGACCATCCCTTTCCAATCGTTCCATCTGGTGCACGACAGAGAATATTTAGTCCTACTGGCGATAACCTACTTACTCGTGATGTTCACCGTGGATCAGTGTTGTCATCAACTCCTGCAGTTCCTTTTCCACCTGGTCCTTTCCAGTACCCTGGTTTTTCCTTTGGGACTGCTTTTCCTCTCCCATCAGCCACTTTTCCAGTTGGGCCAACCTCTTATGTGGATACATCGTCTGGTGGTAGGCTATTTACACATGTCAATTCACAGTTACTGGGAACTGTTGATGCTGTCTCATCCCAATTTCAGAGGCCTTGTGTATTCAGCCTTCATGATGGTAGCAGTAACTGGGGGTCGGAGAACAACAGAAAGTGGGGCAAACAGGCACTGGATCTCAATGCAGGCCCTGGAGCCATGGGTGCAGATGGAAAAGACGATAGGTTGAGGCAATTCTCTGTTGCCAATTCACAAGTGCTCGCGGAGGAGCAAGCGAGGTTATTATCAATTTCAGGTGGCATTTTGAAGAGGAAGGACCCCGAGGGAGGGCGGGATAATGAGAGCTTCAGGTACAAGCAATCTTCATGTCAATAGGATTGTATAATACTGCATATAACAACTGTTAGTCCTGTAAGTGTTTTTTAATCTCGTTGTGTAATAAAAATAGATGATGGGATAATCTTCTGTTAGTAATACCCAATGCTCGATGTGTATCTGAGAAATTTCTTTGCTGAATTGCTTTTTTCCAATTGAGATTCTGCACTTGGATATATAATTGATCTGAATAATAGGAAACTGACAACTCGATTGTAAGTTGAAATAAGTAGGGAAACGTTTATTTTCTTTGTTGTTGCTGTAGAGGGGCGAAACTACTAGCAGAATGGCTGAGTCAAACTCACTCTTTTTATGATTTTTCCTTTAGTTGATAAACGCATACAGGATATACCAAGAGCCCTGCTCGACTTTTTATTCCAGTGGGCGGATCTACTATCCTTGAGACCATCTCCCTACTCGAATGGCCTTCGAAAGTAAAACTTGTATAGTTCATGGCACCAGTTCTGGCCCCCAAAATGCTTTAGGATCGTAAAACACTTTATCCAAGTCTACGATCGGAATGTTTGAAGGTTGACCTTATCCTCTAAAACAAATAAGCTAAGGATAATCAAAAATAGATTAGCCATTCTTTGATGGTCACTATACAGAGAAATCGGGAGAAAATGACATTTTGAATAGTGAGTTTTTAGAGGATGTGTGGTTAAAAAGTAGTGAAAATTTTTGAATTTATGTGTAAAATATTTTATTGTGTGAATTTATGGTTGAAAATGAGTATGAGAAATAAAAAATTTTAAAACAGTCATGAGGTCGTTAAAACAAAAAGTTTCATATTTGATTATTTTTCTTGTTGACTAATAAACATTTTTTTTCTTTAAAATCCATCGAGTACTATAATTCAATCAAAAAACAACAAAATAATCAGCTACAAGGCACGCCTATTGCCAACAAGCATGCTCGTTAAATTTTCCGTCAAAATGGAGCATAGACCTTGAGCATTTGCAAGCAGCGCCACATCACACCCAATCTCCATGGCGGTCCTCCCCGTCCCTACATCGGAGATTTTTGCGAAATGGAATAGTGATTAAAATATCTTCATTTATCATCTATTTTTGAAAGGTTTGGAATCTTTGATGCTCATTTTAAAATAGATTTAAAATTCAAAATATAAAAATAAGATTTAAGATGAGACCGTATAAACCATCTCCGCTCGTTAAAACTGGAATATTTTTCGATTTCTACGCTCCCTTAACCAAAAAGATGTGCTAGAATCTAGATAATGTTAAACTTGCATTAGCTACACAAAAATTGGCAACCAAAAAAATAAAATGAAGACAATGGTAAGGAATACACATATATCTTCACCAAATATATTGACTTGTATCAGTGTATGCACATATACGAACAAGAATAATGATACTTGTACATTACGAGAGTTTTATAAAATTGAAGATGTATTAAAAGAGAGAAGAGAGTTTTTTTTTTTAAATTTGGTTGAAGAGATTTTGATCCAATCATATCTCACCACATTATGTGTTTATAAATCAATATGTAAGTTGTGATATACAAGTAGTACAACTGTATTATATCAAAACAGGACCGTTAAACATAGAGTAGACTACACCATTTTTTCCCCCGATAATTAATAAAAAAAAAATATTATTACTAAAATAAAATTTTTCTTTTTCTTAAAATCTAAAAAGTCAAATTCGAGGTTGACCGGTGTGAAGTGTGAACAGTCGCAACTTCTCAAGTTTCCAAACAAAATCTAGAGAACTTAAATAGTGCAACTAACAACATAAAAAATTCCCAAAACATTAAAATTAGGAGTGGACATGGTTTCATTCGGTTCTAATTCCAATAGAATCGAATCAAACCATGAACCAATGATTTTTTGATATAGAATCAAATGATTTTTTTTAAAGATATGGAACCAAACCGGAACCGAACCGTACCGTTCGATTCTAGTTTGGTTTGATTTGGTTCTCATTTCATTACTGATTGAGGAAAAAATAACATTTGAGGAAGAAGAATCGAATGTTGATGCTTCAATTTCAAAAATCAATGCAAAGATGGTAGTTGAACACGACGGTAGAAGGTAGTTGGTAGTTGTTGATCTCCATTTGAGAGTCGGTGTACAAATAAAAAATGAGAGAAAATGATAAACGAATTAAGGATTGTGTCTGCAAAATGAATTAGGCTCTCTAGTCTACATATTGAGAAATAAGAAATCAGAAGTACATGACATTTTTGTCAATTGAATTTTGAATTTTTTGATGTGAACCGTGATTAATTAATTTGTGAATTTATATAAAATAATAAAATTTAAATATTGAGGTTGGGTATTGATTTTAGAATCAAAACCAAAACCAAATGATTTTCAGTTCTAAGAAACTAGCACCATTAATTTTTTTAGAATTGAACCGTTCGATTTGTTTTGGTTTTGATTTGTTCTGGTTTGATCATTTTGTCCACACTTAGTTTAAATCCCTCTCTCTCTAATTTTTCAATCGCCATAGCCACGGTGGAGAAGAGACAAACGCTTACTGTTCAAGTCACAAACATCCATCAAACTGTCATAGCCAAAGAACTCTTCACCTTTCTTGAATCTACATTGGGCAGAGGCACAATCTTTGCATGTGAAATTTTCACAAGAGTATAATAGTGGAAGTCGAGAGGCCATGGAAGGGTCCAGTTCAACTCCTCAAAAGCCAAGAATCAAGTCTTGTTACTCCCCTAACAAAATAAACTGTTTTTTAGAGGGGCGCACCTCGTGCTTTCTCTGGCTTTTGATGATTGTCATCACCAGGCTATTGGAGCCAAGAAATGGGGTTGAAGAGGGTAATGGGATAACCCTTTTTGCTGTGGTAATGATCAGAGGGAATTGTTTGGGGATTTTGGAGTTCTGGGGTTGTGTGAAATTGTGGGTTGTGCCTGAGAGGAAAAGACATGAGCATTTTTTGAATCATCAAGGGGAGTTCTATAAATTGGAAGTGTAGTTTGGGGATGTGTTGGGGATTTCTGGGTGTTGTTTGGATGGTGACAAACAGAGAGTTAATGCCATTCTATCGAAGGTATGATTTTATCTTTTCGTATTAGTCTTAAAAAATATAACTGAATCGTGAAAAAAGATTTATGTAGATGACCCTAAATTTGCTGAGAATCGGGCTTAGTTTGTTTTCGTAGTGTTTAGATATCAAAATGTCTTATGATTGTTAATTGTTTCTATTCTTATGCCTTTTCTCGTTTGACGCCATTCTTTTGAAGGCATGATTTTCTCTTTTCGTGGTAGATATCAAAATGATATAGTGAAAAAAGGATTCATGTAGAAGAACCAGAAGAAAAAATAAGAACAGAAAAGTTGGGAAAATTCATCACACCTATAAGAAGATGTGATGTTATGTATTTATAAGACTTTGTATATCTTTACAAAATAACGGTTACACTGTAAACTGCTATAAACAATGTTATAATCATGCTAACTTTGATTTCAAGATTTCACAAGGTCATGATTGTTATCACGCAAGCCTTTAACTACTGATTTGTTTCCATATTTTTATATCATGCCATATCATTGCTGAGCTGTAGTATTGATGTCTTTTCTGAGTCTTCATCCACAATTGTACCCTCTATTTTATCATCCCCCCTCAAATTGAGCATTTTTGAAATGCACAATTTGTCACGTAGCAATTCTAAAGCTGGTTTCAGTTGAGGTTTTGTGAAGACATCTGCAATCTGAGACTGTGTTTGGCAACAAGTAACCCCGAGTGACACTCGTTCCCTGATATAGTGGTAATCCACTTCAATATGTTAAGCTTCTTGCACGGAATACTGGATTAATTGTCATGAACAGTGAACGCATATTATTAGATAACAGAATTGGAGCTTGAGATAGGGGGACATCCAGATCACGGAGGACGAAAGTGAGCCACATAATTTCAACTGTTGCTTGAGCAAGTGCTCTATATTCAGCTTCGGAACTAGAACTTGAGACTATTGGTTGCTTCTTTGAGCACCATGAAATGATGTTGCTTCCTAGGTAGGTATAATAACCAGTTGTTGATCTTCTAGTGACGTTGCACCCAGCCCAATCAGAGTCTGATAATCTATAAAGATCAAGAGAACTTAAAGCTTGTATATGAAGACCAAGATTAATAATCCCTTTTACAAAGCGTAGGATTCGTCTAAACAAACTAAAATGTGACTTAATAGGCGTATGCGTAAATTGGGAGACATAATTCCACTAAAAAAGAGGTTTGGACGTGTCAAGGTTAAGTATTGAAGGGCTCCCACTAGAGATCGATATGCATGAGGGTCGGGGTGCAGAGGTGAATCAGGATTAGGTTTGGTTTTGGTACACAGTGGGGGTCTTGATAGGTTTTGATTCAAGCATCCCAGTGCTTTCTAGGATGTCGATAGCATACTAGTTTGTTGTAAAAACAACCCAGTTGGAACGATCGAGACTTGAATTCCCAAAAAATAATGGAGGACTCCAAGATCTTTCATTGTAAATTCTGCATGTAATTTGTTGATGAAATCATGTATTAGACTTGAAGAGGAACCAGATAATATAATATCATTAACGTAAAGTAAGAGAACCAAAGTTCCTTGATCTGAATGGAAAATAAATAGAATTGGATCGGCAGTGCTGCATTGAAAATTGTATTGCAGAATATAGGAACTGAATCTGTCAAACCAAGATCTTGGAGCTTGTTTAAGTCTATAGATTGCTTTGTTCAAATGACAAACTGAATCTGAAAAATTTGAGTCTTTAAAACCAGGAGATTGCTCCATGAATACCTCATCGGTTAGAGACCCATGCAAGAACACATTTTTTACATCAAGTTGTCTGATATCCCACTTTTTTACAGTTGCAATGGATAAGATCAACCGAATAGTTACTGGCTTCACAACACGTGAATAGGTTTCAGTAAAATCAATCCCGAGTAATTGATGATACCCTTTAGCAACTAATCTTGCTTTTGAGGTATTCCACTTTGCCATCTATTTTGAGTTTTACTTTGTAAACCCATCGGGATCCAACAACATTCATTAATGTTGTACGAGGCACCAAGTTCCATGTTTTTTGTTGTTGTAGAGCAGCAAGTTTATCAACCATTGCTTGTTTCCATCCAAAGTGTGAAAGAGCATATTTAAGAGACCTTGGTTCCTTTGGTATTGAATCAAAGTCATGTAGAAGTGCATACTTGGGGTTTGGTTTTCGAACTCCCACCGACTGCGTATAACCATGGGATGAGGAGTGCTTCCAGAGTTTTGAGGAATTGGAGTCAACATAATTGAGTTCCTCAAGGTGTTTAGAGGCAGTAGACTGAGAGAGATTATCAGCATTGACTGAATGTGAACCCGACACAAGATCACCTATAGTGATTGTTGTTTTGAGTTGAGCAATTGGTGTTAGTAGTGGTGCTTCTTCGGTTGAGTAAATGATCTGAGTGCTCACAAGAGGGCGTGGACCATGTGTCAAATTCTCAAAAGGTTATAGGTTGTATTCCAGTAGCTGTGACAAAGGGATTATTGAAGTTTTTGTAAGGTAAAGATCATTCATTAAAAACCACATGTCTAGAAACATAAAACCTTTTATTTGATATAGAACAACAGTTATATCCTTTGTGTCTATCACTGTAACCCATAAACACGCATGGCACTGATTTGTTATCAAATGTATCCTTCTTAGAGTCCCATATGTATGGAAAACACCTTGAGCCAAAAACTGTTAATGATGAATAATCAGGATTCTTGCCATACAATCGATAGAAGGTTGAGTCCCATTGTAGTGTGTTTGTTGGAACACGATTGATTAGAAACATTGTCGTGGTAAAAGCTTTAACCCAGAAAATTTTAGGAACATTTGCATGAATTAACATAGTAATGTCGAGTTCTCTAATCACCCGATGCCTTCTTTCAACTATACCATTCTACTCGGGTGTATAGCGACATGATAATTGATGTTTGATTCCTAAATTTTGAATGTGTTTTGAATCTGTTATTAAAAAATTCTCCTCTCCCATCTGTCTGAATTATCTTAATAAGGCCATCAAATTGTCTCTTTACAAACTTTTCAGAGAATGAATTGATCATAGAAGTCTAATTTTTGCTCTAATGGAATTAACCATACAAACTTTGTGAAATCATCAACAATAGTGGTATAAAACTGAAACTGATGCAAAAAAAGAGGAGCAGGTCCCCATAAATCAATATGAACTTTCTCAAAAGGTGCAGAAGTTTTTGATTTAGATAAAGAACAAGACAACTTAGATAATTTTCCTAATTGATAACTCTCAGATATGGAATTGTCTTTATTGGAAATAGTCTTTATTAATGCTTTGTTTTGAAGATGAGCCATTGTAGCAGCTCGAACATGCCCGAGACGTTGGTGCCAGATGTCTTATGAAGCAAGCTAAAATTTGGAAGAAAACAAAGCCACTAGAGGTGCTCGGATTGTATACAAATTATCCCTTTTTAGCCCCCTCATCAGTACCTGCTGTGTCAAATTGTCCTTAATCACAAAGTCATTATTAGAAAATTCACAAGTTATTGAATAATCAGATATGAGTTGTCCAATAGATAATAGACTCATTTCTAACTCAGGTACAAGAAGAACATTCCTTAGAACAATAGCAGACTCTCCAGAATCGAGCAGTGCATCACCAGTATGAGTTACTTTTAGAAATTTTCCATTTCCTAACATAACATGATCATTACCAATATAAGGTCTGAGATTATATAGGTTGACTTCATTAGAGGTCATATGTGCTGATGCACCAGTATATGATGTCCATTCTTTATGGTATGCCTCAGAATTAAGTTGTAAGGCTGTGAATGCTTGAGGCAAGTTGTCTGGTTGGATAGAGTGATTGAATCTATACCAACAACGAATAGTAAGGTGTCCTTTCTTGCCACAAATTTGACAAGTGTGTCTCTGTGATTCTCTCTAGGGGAAGTGTTTGAAGAAGAGCTTTTGCTGAAGTTTTTGTTGGGTGGAGGAAAAATTGTTGGTGGGTTTGGGATTTTTGGGTGCATTTTTGGGAACATTTTTGTCAGCATAAAAAAATAGTCTAATGAGAGGATTTAGGAGTGTGAAGTTTCAGCCTTGTTTCATAACTCTGCAGTAGGGGAATTGCCTCATTATAGGATGGCATTGGTGATTTAAGCATTGATGTAGTGAAGGGTTCATAGCGTGCATCAAGTCCTATAAGCAATTTAAAAACTTTGTTTTTGTCATCAACCATGTGCCCAATGGCAGCAAGGCTGTCACATACCTCTTTGAACTTTCGAATATATTCGTTGATAGGCACTTCCCGGGTTTTCTTCATATACGTAAGTTGCTGATTCAATTGAAATTGTCTTTCTTGAGAAGATTGGGCCTACGCTTCCTTAAGTGTTGCCCAAACTTATGCTGAGGTATCAAGGTCAATAACAAGGTTGAGTGCCTCCTCTGCAAGTGCTAATAATCCACCATCTGAGTAGACGATGTGCTGTTTTCTAGTGTTTGTATGCTGGATTAGCAGTGGGGTTGTTAAATCAAGCGGTGGAAGTACAGCAGTTGGGCATGGGTTTTCTCCTGTGAGAAAGTCTGTAAGTTCTTGACTTTCAGCAAGTGCTTGTGCAAGCACTTGCTCACGCCATAGTGGATAGTTTTCAGGTTGAAGCCCGAGAGTGACAAAGTTACTAACATTAAACGAAGCGGAAGACATTGCTTTGCTTTGATACCAAGAAGAAAAGAAATAGAACACTGGTCGACGGCTACATATTATGGATCATGACGTGTCCTTAGAGGTAACCAGAAACTACTGCTTCAGGAGATATATATACAAACATTTGCCTGTATCGGCCTCTTTCTTATTCTTCTTTGGATTGATGTGCAGGAAATTCATAGATTCTGTGTGATATGCTGGGGCACATCTCTACGGTGCATCTGGTCCACGTAGGCCGTGAACTGGATAAAGCTCTGAGTTCAAAATGGTCTCGAGTTAGCAGCCCTTGAGTCTATGCCTATGGCCGTTGACTTTGCCAAATCAGGAGCTCCGACCTAGATGCCTAGGTCTTTGAAGCCGAGAGAAATCCCGAATTTCATGGAAAGGTGGGAAAAGCCCATGTACATCTCTCAAGGTGCACTAGGCAAGCTTTACGGTGCTACCCTCGAGTCCCATCATCACATGAAAACAAACTTTAACTGCTCGAGTGTTATCTTGCAAGTCGCATTTGATCAGGATCCCATCATAGATAGTTATGATGCATTCGTGGAAACTGCTGAAAGCCACAAAGAACAGTACTTGGATAAAATGACCATGTTGCTAAATTTTTTCGAAGCAAAGAATGAAGTCTGAGATTTTTTTTTTTTAATGAAGTTTGAGATATTGACAGGCAATTTGCGTAACAACTCGATGTACTTGCAGCGTGATAATAGGAGATTCGGGGATGTCAAGGATCGTGTTTTGGTGTCGACCAAAAGCAGGGGCGGAGTCAGCCCGATGAACTAGGGGGGTCCCGGAGTTGAAGGGTGGGGACCCACGGGGGTTCGGTGCCCCCGAAATTTTTTTTTGAAACATTATGTGTTAAAATGAAAAAAGTTAGTACTTTGTAATAGATAAAGAAAACAACGGGATATAAATTAATATACGAAGATTTAACAAAAAAATCAAGAAACGTATAAAAGAAAGTACTAATCTTTAATTTAGGAAAATCATACCTTCTTACAAGTGTTCATTTCCAGTTCTCATACTTTGAGAATTTAATGCCAATGTCAAAAGCTTGTATAATAACGGGTATACTTCATTTTTTTGGCCACAACCAACTTTGAACAAGTTCACAAAGACATTGTAATCTTACAAATTCTGGATTAGTTAGGAGATAACTTAAAAAAAAAAAAAAATTTATTGTCAAAAATTAGAAATAAGTCACTTATTAAAATTTAAAAGTAGTATTTGGCTTTAATTTCAAATTATAAAGATATTATAATGAAATCCGAGCGGTCGCCGAGTCTATCTATAGATAGGGGAAATATTTTCGTCGTTTTCGGCTGTAAATAGGAGAATGGAAGACTTATGTCTCAAAGTGATAGATTTTCTATTTTGTGGGCTATTCTTTTGAAATATTTAACTACAATTCTTGGAACAAAACTCGACTGGATATATAAAAGGGAAATTTGCAATATTAGCTCTCA